GCTCTTAAGGATGTCTCGTCTTATATAGCTTGTGTAAAATCGCTGCAAAATCATGACTCGACTCGGATCGTGTCATTCTGTTTTGACTCTGAGACGGAAGTGATGCTTTTACTTAATGCAGTTCGTGTCGCAATGAGGAATCATGGTAATCTCTATTCTATCCAATTAATAAAAATTCATTGATAGCAGGAGGAAGCGGAATGTCATGTTTCATCAGCGCGAAGAAAGACACCGCCCACTATTATTTACAGGATAGTTTCAGCAATCTTGCTTTTGTAACACTATTATACTATGGCTTTATTTCATTACAAAAAATATTGTTTTAAATACATAGAAAACACACAAAATAGATACTGCTGAATGCAGTGTGAAATATACACAGATACTGGTTCGTGTTCACGTATATTTCCTACTAACGATAACAATCATATGGCAGACGTGAGAAATTAATGATCGTCATGATTATTTCTCTGCTTTATAACTTCTTGGTTTTATTCAATTTCAATTGATTGGTTTTTTTATGATAAATTCAATTTTATTTTAATTTCAAAATTTAATATTTTTCCTTTTACTTAGTTTTCTTTTGCTTTTCATGTTGCTTAGTTTTTATTTGTATATTATGAATTTATTTCAGATTTGTAATAAAATTTTGTAATAAAATTTATGATTTTATTTTTTTTATATCTAACGCAAAAAATATTTAAAGAGATTTAAAAAATTAAGTAGAAGAAAAAGTCTAACACATTGACAACTTTGAGATTCCATGATTTTTGTTAATTTCTATAATAATGTAAAAATAATTACCTATTTTTTGCATTTAATAAAGCTTTGTTTATAATCTATAAAAAAATTGAAAAAAAATTGACAAATTAGAATTTTTGAAAATTGACAAATTAGAATTTTTGAAAATTTGTATTTTTTAAAAATCTAATAATTTCGGCATCTTACCTATATAAGACCTATATAAGACAATTAGTCTTCATAATTTTATATTTTTAATTATATTTAAAATCGTTTTAAGAGTATATTTCAATCAAGATAGATGAAAAAAATGACTAAAAACAACTAAAAACGATTTTAAATATAAAAACAAAATTATAAATACCGGCCATAGAGATCAAGTAAAATTAAAAACAGACTTTTTTAGATAGAAAGATTTATGTATAAACAATAAACAATAAACTTCTTCTATTATTTTAATATTAGACATTACAAACGCGCGTGCAGGGCGCGCTATTTATCTTTTTCAACACAAGAGCAAAAATTAATATAATATTTAAAAATTAATATAATACTATTATACTACTGTTACATTATAATATTTTTAACTTCTTGATATAATTGTCAAAACGATCCTCTGTGAGATCAATACAATGACAGTTATTTACGAAGTTAGTGCAGTGAGAGAACCAATCGGCATCGCGAAAAAGCGACAACAATAAAGTTCGAGAAATGTGAGTAATCGATGTCATGCCTTTTTTAGAAAGGATTAGAACAATACAGGCGCTGCTACGCTATTTACTTAATTTTATAATTTTTAGAAGGGATGAATGGTATAACTCTGTTGTAATAAATGCTTATTACAATTTTCTTCTTTCAGAAGTCATTCACTAAATAATAATCTCTCTCAATAAATCGATAAGTCTAACTGTCAATACACAATGACATTCGTTTTCGTTGCATACATATCGAGATCGAGAGAACCAATTGGTATCGTGGAAAAGAGGCAACAATAAATTCGATTCAATTTAACACGGATTCTAATATTTTAACATAATGAAAAAGAACATAAAGAAATAAAACATTTCTCATGAGTATTTATTGTTACTAATGACTTAATGGGGAGTGAGATTCTTTCTTTTTTCCCTTGATAAATACAATTTTACTTTAAATTCTAATGCGCATTATAGATAATTGAAAGTCAATTTTTATATTTTATACGTTTAAAACAACTTGATTTTTAAGAAGAATCTTCATCTATTTTTGTCTAATAGAAATATGATTATAAGTTTTGAAAATTTCTGTTAAAAAGTTAATTTCAATTTTTGTAGAATATGTTTCTAT